TGAACTTTGGGATTTTAGAGTTGGAAACATGCTTGTCAGGGCGATCACAGATTTAGATTAGTGATAAAATCCGATCTAAAATCCACGTCCTGAAGCAAAAACATTTGAGATCTGTGTTTTTAGATGCGTTTTAAGTAAACAAAAATGTCTTCTGGTTCCCAACTGATGGGTCACGGACAGCAGAAATATAGAGCAGACATCATGAATGTACAGAACAGAAACTCTACAGTGAGACATGGACAACAGATGGACAGGAAGAGAAACAGACCGACAGATAGAAGTGAGGTTTTGGATGAGGGGGAAGGAAAAGGCGGGAATATGACAAATGGAGAGAGAGAGAACAAGGAAGTAGGTTGTGGAAGAAAGAAGTGGCGGAATAACAGGATCCCAGAGGCCATTCATTGACCCCTGACTTCCTGTTGTGCTGAACTCAAGTTATTGACTCCATACGTCTGAGTCATGTGACCTACTGAGTAGTGTGTAAGTGTGTCACATCGGGGTTATCCCATAGGCAACTGGGATTTACAATTCTCACTTCCATGTACTCTTGAGTAGTAATTGTCAGTTCATATTTGCAAGTTTCTCCTTGTGTCTATGGCACGTATTTGTAGAGTTTGTTATGAGTTATGAAACTGAGTTCTTCTTTAATCTCCTGTGTTTATGTCTATTGAGGGATGAGTCTGAGAAATGGATATTTTCCTCTTTTTCTGTCTCATTCCGGACATCTGTAAGTCTCTTGAGAGTCTTTTTGTCTCTCGGGTCGCTGGGCTGCCATCTGGCTCCGCTATCATGACACGTGCTGTGTGTGTGTGTGTGTGTGTGAGAGAGAGAGGTGGACATGTGAGTTCAATAGAAATAGAAGAATCCCTAATGGACCTGAGGACAGAAAGAGGTGTGTGTGTGGTCCTCTTTATTACTATTCTTCTTGTTTTTACACCTTTTCTATTTCACCCCATCACTAAAACCTCTTTGACTTTCATTTTCATTTTCTCATCTTCTTCCATCTTGATGATAAATAATGTTCTTTAAAAACGTTTCATGATAAAATGTTTTGCATTTTCATGAAAAATAAGCCTTCTTATTACTTTAATGCAAACCAAAACATTCATTAAACTCAAAAGTAGTTTCTTTATTTACAATTTTTTGAGGAAATGTGCTTAACTGTGAAAATGAACTCGGATGTTCCTAAAATTACACGCCAATATTTATGTAAAAACTGTCTGGTCTGGAGATTTGTAACTTTCTGGATTTGTTGACCTCCTTCAGTCACGTTATGACAGGAAACATATATCATGACGTTCTGCCAGATTTGTCCATGTCTTCAGATTAACCCATTTCACTGATCTCTATGATCGTTTGGCCATTGCTTTTCTCTAACACTCTAAAAAAAAATGCTGAGTTGTTTCAACCCAAATTTGGGTCAAATATGGACAAACCCAAATGTTGGGTTAAAAATGCAATTAAAAAAATTACAGTTGAAAGTGAAAGTTGAAGTTCGGTTAATTTTAATTTACATTTTCAACCCAACATTTGGGTTTGTCCATATTTGACCCAAATTTGGGTTGTAACAACTCAGCATTGCTTAGAGTGTAGTGTCCTACTTTTATTCTTTCTTAGCTTTGACCATCCTGATGCCTATAATCAATCAAACTGAATTGATCTGTGCGAATCTCACAACCTTGATGCTGGGCGGTTACTGGGTTGTCGCTTTACTGGTCGTAAGAGTCAATAATTAACAATTGTCAAGGTTTAGTCATATGCTTCTGCCCTTGTGTTTTGAGTGATAATGTGTGTACAGTTTATACAGAGAGTGGCATGTTACTCCTGCTGAGTGTTTATAAGATATACAAAGAAAACTAGATCTTTACGGAATCAGGTACCTTCCTGTCCAGTGTTTAGACTACGGTGGGGGACGTTTCTCTATTGTGTGGTCAGGATGTATGTCACGGAGATGTTTTCCATGTGATCTATGAGGGAGGATGTCTTGGATAAATCTAGGTTGTTCATTCACAGGATCTATCAGGTTTGATATACTGATCCAGATGTGGTTTGTGTGTGTGTGCGCCAGATGTAAAGCTTCAGATTAAGGCCAAATGTTTGTGAGTTATATTTATAATAAGAATAAGCAATGTTTCATAGTGGGCTAATATAGTTCAGCATCTGTAAGTTGAATGTGTGTACACAGTCCAATGTCTTTGGCTCAGTCAGAATTATTTTTTTTTTCAGGCTTTAGACTAATTTGATACACACATTTTGCAATAAAAAAATAAATCTGTAAAATAACGGTAAACTACTGTTTTTTTAGCTAAAAAATATGCCGTGTTACTGTTTTTTAAATTAACAGCTAAATACCATTTTGTCTGCTATATACTGTTACATTACAGTTTTATACCGTAGCTGACAAAACGTTATTTAGTTGTCAAAAACAGTAACACACCGTATTTTTACGGTAGGATGCTGGTTTACCATTTTTTGACAGGATTATTTTTTACAGTTTGAGTGTGTGTATGTTTGTACGTAGACACACTCAAAAATAAATCTGTAGAATAACGGTAATCTACTGTTAGTAGTGAGTAGATAAAAAAAATACAGTGTGTTACTGTTTTTTAAATTAACAGCCAAATACCATTTTGTCTGCTATATACTGTTAAATTACCATTTTATACAGTAGTTGACAAAACGATATTTAGTTGTTTAGTTCTCAAACACAGTAACACACCATATTTTTACGGTATGATGCTGGCAACAACAGGTGACAGTAGTTTACCGTTTTTTGACAGGATTATTTTTTTATATTGTTTGAGTGTGTGTATGTTTGTACATAGACACACTCAAAAATAAATCTGTAAAATAGCGGTAACCTACGGGTAGTAGTGTGTAGCTAAAAAAAATACGGTGTGTTGCTGTTCTTTTAAATTAACAGCTAAATACCATTTTGTCTGCTATATACTGTTAAATTCCAGTTTTATACCGTAGCTGACAAAACGTTATTTAGTTGCTTAGTTGTCAAAAACAGTAACACACCGTATTTTTACTGGAACCACAGCTGCCAGTAGTTTACCGTTTTTTGACAGGATTATTTTTTACAGTGATTGAGTGCGTGTATGTTTGTACATAGGTGTGTTTCATCCTGCTTTCCCATGTGAGCAGAGCATTAGTTTGTTTACAAATGTCACACATACAGTCCTTTGGGCGTATTTGGTGTGTGTGTGTTTGGGAGCATGACATTTATTGTGTGTTATTTGTATAAATATTCAGTATGTAAATACCATTATTTGAGGGGACACTACCAACCTTCAACTTTGACTTTGAGTCCACCATGGTGAATTATAAACACTAAATAATCTTGAATTCAAAATGGAATACATTGAGGTTAGATGACAACAGTGTAACATACTACTGTTTGATATTTATTGTTGATACGGTTCCAGATTTGTACACATGGTTGGCGATGTACAGTATCCTCATGATGAGAGACAGGCGCCTCATTATGGAAGATGTTTCTGTAACCTTCACGCTCACTCGCTCTGCCCTCGCTGAAAGAGCGTTTTGTACACATTAGGATATGCAGGAGCCATTACTGTCTGCAAGCCTCTGACCCTGAATGTGAATAATGTTGTGATCTCTCTCATTGTTCTGATTAATCTGATGTGGTTGGGTTCATATGTGTACAGACTGAGGCGAGTCATGGGATTTTGTTTGAGAGGTTTAGGGTTGTGTGTTTATGGGGTGTGATTGGCTATACTCCGCAAACAAAACTGGTCACAGAAATGCTCTAAATCGAACAAAACAATCATTTTGGGGACATTTAAATGTTCCCAACATGATAGTTTTGTTAAATTTTATAGATAGTTTTGTTCAATTTTTGTTTCATTTTAAATTAAAATTAATTTTTGTTTTTCGAAATAAAGTAAATGCTGATGATTCAGGTCAGGTTTATGCTAGTATAGTTATTTACAATTGTGTACAATATATTTTTTTTAATTACAATTATTTACAATATAGTTATTTTATTGTTTACAATTGTGTGTTTTGGCTATACTTCTCAAACAAAATTGTCCCCAAAAGTTGTTTTAAATCGGACAAGAAAAATCAGATAATTTTCTCAGACAGTTTTGTTTAGTTTAATATAGTTATTATAATTAGCTGTATATATATATATATATATATATATATAAACAATATAAGCCAACACTCATATAGTTCATGTGTTTATTGTCTGTTGTGTGTTCTTATTTCCTCTGGCGTTTGTGGTGCTTTTGATGTAAATATCTCCTGTGGTTGTGTGATTCTGTGCATGCGCATTGTTTGTGTTTCTGATATATGGTTGAAAAAACATATTTCCCTTTGTTTTGTTTTTTTCTTGTTGAAATATGTGGCATCATAGAACTTGTCTTTCTGTCTATTTATGAATTTGGTTTTGTTTTTTTATCATTTCACTGTCCAATAAGAGAATGCAGATGAAAAAATGAATTTGTGAAGAGGCTTATATCAATGTGCTTTTGAAGTATTATATTTAAGCATTTTTATTTTGGGGGGGTTGTGAGATTTTATAGAGATAATGCGCAGTGTGTGTGTGTTTGCTGTCCTGAGGATGGAATCACAATGGTCTTTCTGTCTTTGACCCAATTAGTCACAGAGCTTGTTTCTCACTCACTGCAACGATCATGCTGTGTGTGTGTGCTATTTAACACCCATTGATTTCAAATGAAACCTCTATAAGTCGTTTGTCAAAGTTGCTTCTGACATTCATTTAGATTTTATTGCATAGTGCCATTGGAAACATGAGCACGATGAAGTGAAAAGGTCTCTCGTTCTCGTGGTTTGGTCACATGTTGTGTCCTCAAGGTCACACGGAATGCAGTCACCACATACAGGATACACACTTACATCATTCCTCTGTCGCCATGGCAGCAGCGAGGTCACACAAATACACTCACAAATGTCTTAACTTTTTGTTTTTTGTCATTACTCATGTTTTTCCTTTTGTCTCATTACAGCAAAAACCACCCACTGGTGACTGGCGCTTCACCCAGAACCAGAGGCCCGGGCCCAGCGGGTGAGTAACACACACGTACACACACATACACACACACACACAGGTTCACTAAGATTTGCATTATGTAAACGCACAAAGTCACCTCTATTCAAAAACATTTGCGTTGAATAAATGGTTAGCACACACTGAGGTGCATATACATGAGGATATAGAGCAAGAAATGGCATACAGAAATAGATTTGCATGAGTATATGACATGTGCTGCCTTCATGTGCACCTGGGAAACTCCATTGTCATGATAAATACTTGAGGTACAATTCAGAAACATAACATGGAAGTAGTATGAACAAAAGATAGAGCCTATGTTGTGAACAATCAACACAAACTACACCTCAATTCAAAATGATACAAATTTTCACTTTTTTATCACTTTTGTTTATGGCATCAATACTAAATGTGAAGCAAATCATGACAATTGAATGATTAACACATTTTGCTGCAGCCTTTCCCACTGATCTTAATAGATTATATAAATCTGTATTATACAGATATAGCTCATCACTCATCATCACCGTAACTCATCACTCTCAGAAAAAAAGGTACAAAAGCTGTCACTGGGGCTTTACCTTTTCAAAAGGTACACTTTTGTACCTAAAGGGTGCATATTGGTACCTTAATGGTACATATTAGCATCTAAAATGTGCATATTAACACTTAAAATGTACATATTAACACTTAAAATGTACATATTAGCAGCTATAATGTACATATTAGCACCTTGTACATATTACAACTTAAAGGACAACTCCGGCGCAAAATGAACCTTTGGTCTAATTACACATTGCTACCTAGTCAACCGTTATCTGAGATTTGTTTTCATGATTGCCGAATGTAAATAGTTTTATCTCTAAAAACAGTTTAGCCTATAACGATAGTATAATGCTAGTATATGGGGCATAGAGTAATGACAAATAAAAATCGCTTGTTATTACCACTAACAAGGCTCAAAATAGCCCCACAGTAACACGACTGCATAATAAGGGTCCCTACATTCAAACCAAAGCATTGAGAACTTTGTCAGTGTCCATACAGTTTAATAAGAAGATATTTTATACACACAGTCAACTTCGCGAATACAGGAAGAAGCCATCTTTGAAAAATAGTCTCTACCAGTCGATCTACGAACGCCGATCCAAGTGCGCTGAACTGTGCAGAATATCATATGGTCCGTTGTTTTCGGAAGAAAAACAAACACGAACCGTTTTCTTCTCTTCAATATGTACACGTAGCCTACTGTTCGCGCTCACCTTATCACCTTATTCACATCTCACCAGCGCACTTGGATCGGCGTTCGTAGATCGACTGGTAGAGACTATTTTTCCAAGATGGCTTCTTCCTGTATTCGCGAAGTTGACTGTGTGTATAAAATATCTTCTTATTAAACTGTATGGACACTGACAAAGTTCTCAATGCTTCGGTTTGAATGTAGGGACCCTTATTATGCAGTCGTGTTACTGTGGGGCTATTTTGAGCCTTGTTAGTGGTAATAACAAGCGATTTTTATTTGTCATTACTCTATGCCCCATATACTAGCATTATACTATCGTTATAGGCTAAACTGTTTTTAGAGATAAAACTATTTACATTCGGCAATCATGAAAACAAATCTCAGATAACGGTTGACTAGGTAACAATGTGTAATTAGACCAAAGGTTCATTTTGCGTCGGAGTTGTCCTTTAAAATGTACATATTAGCACCTAAAATGTACATATTAACACTTAAAATGTATTAACACCTAAAATGTACATATTAATACCTAAAATATTAACACTTAAAATGTACATATTAACACCTAAAATATACATATTGTACATATTATTAAAATGGACATATTAGCACCTAAAATGCACATATTAGGACCTAAAATGGACAAAATTTACCTTTTGAAAAGGTACAGCCCCAGTGACAGCTTTCGTACCATTTTTTCTGAGAATGATGTATCATCTATATAGAATTCAGAGTTTCCCACTCGTAAATTCATTTATGCGTAATCATTTCTGACTCCTTGAAAGAGACGATCGGCTGTGCACAGTTTTTGCATGCACATACTGAGCACAGTGTACATACTGCATATTGTTTGAATGAGACACTTTAGTACCCCTTACCCTACTCTAAAGAGAAAGAGAGAAACAAAAAGAGACAGCAACTAGCTGTGGTCTGAATCTTAATGTTCTTCTCTTCTTAACAAAATGGCTGCTGTTATTCAAGCACTTACCCCTCCACCCCCAATGCCTCGATCTGCCAAGAGACAGAGAGAGAGGGGCCAGAAAGAGTAAAAGAGGGGGACAGTGAGGTTTATTGCCATGCTAATGCCTGTTCTAGTTGATACATTGTGCTGAAACTGATTGGTGCCATTAAGATGCCAAAGGGCTTTGACGCTTTGACTGTTTCAGTGTGATTGACAGCGACTCGTCCAATCAGGTGCTCTTGAGGGGGAGGGGCCGGTCACAGGCAGCCAATACGGTCGTGTGCCAGTTTTCACAACTCATCGGTTTCCATAACAGATGTTACACAACACATTCCATCCTGACAGGACCCAGTTTGAAAGAAGCCATTTGGAAGAAATTAAATCTTTTTGTTTAGTTTAAATTGGCAGTGCTACATGTATAGCAGCGGGCCCAAAGCCCTGTGTTTTGTTAGCAGGGTTCTTATAGTTAGTTAGTTCACTTTTAAAAAAAAACTTTTGCTGATAATTTACTCACCCCCATGTCATCCAAGATGTCCACGTCTTTATTTCTTCAGTCGAAAAGAAATTAAGGTTTTTGATGAAAACATTCCAAGATTTTCTCCATATAATAGACTTCAATGGGGTCCAAACGGTTCAAGATCCAAATGAGAGTTTCAGTGCAGCTTCGAAGGGCTTTAAACGACACCAGACGATGAATAAGGGTCTTATCAAGCGAAACGATCGCTCATTTAAAAAAAAAAATAACAAAGTTTAAGTTTTATAAGCATAAATTCTCGCCTTGCTCTGTTCTGTGATGAGCGTTCATGACTCTCCTGTTCATCAAAATGAACAAATCTTTTTTCGAGTCATGACTCGAAGGGTCTTAGATAAGACCCTTATTCATCGTCTGGTGTCGTTTAAACCCCTTTAAAGCCCTTTGAACTGAAACTCTCATTTGGATCTTAAACCGTTTGGACCCCATTTGAAGTCCATTATATGGAGAAAAATCCTGGAATGTTTCCATCAAAAACCTTCGACATGGACATCTTGGATGACATGGGGGTGAGTAAATTATCAGCAAAAGTTTAAATGCGAACTACTCCTTTAATATAACTCTGATTCTGTTTGACTGAAAGAGGACAGTCATGCATCTAGGATGTCTTTTTGGGTGAACTATTCATTTCAGTTTGGTTGTCCTATACCTCGTTTCCCACCAAAACATCGTAGTTAATTTGTATCTTTCTTCCAGCTCCTTCAAGCCCCAGTCCACACATGTAAGATGGACGCCGTCGAGCAGGCTGAGGTATTGAAGTGTAGCTGTCCCTCTATTGGTGCTGTGTTAGTGTCCAATAGTGACGCTGGGGCCCTCAGGGGCCGTCCTGCTCATAGAATAGAATGCAGTGTGTAGCGGTGAGCCTTGTACATTAGTGTGTGATTAGCTTTGTTGCTGTGCATCGGCATGCCATGGTTTTGGAATTGCACAACATACTGTACGTAATGTCCTTTGTGTAAACATTTGTAAGGGCTTTTATGAATAGACAATGACATCTTAGACCATCTTTTGGCCAATCTGGTCCACAGGAAGTGATTATCCAACCACAGGATGTGATAATGCTGACCACAGGAAGTGTGATTTCCTGATGAGACGCTGATTTTGGAGAAGTGAGGCGTGTTATCTTCACGCTGGTGAACAGGAACTGTTGTGTGTCGATCTGAAGTGTTCTATAAGCAGCGATGGTTAAGTGGTTAAAGATCCGAGCTGGTGTCCTGAAGGTCACAGGTTTGATCCTCAAACTCTGATGCTTAAATGAATTGAGATCGGCTCTGGTTCTCATTAGCGCGGTTCACTCTAAAACAACATCACCCTGTTTCCCCCCTCGTCTTGGCACTGTGAGTTTATCCCTTTTGAAATGCTTGGCAAAAACAAGCAAAAAAGTCTTTCTCTTCTCAAGTCTCTTTCTGCTTTTCATTCTTGCACCCATTCCTTCTGTCACATTTTCCTTCATATGCTTAAAGGAATAGTTCACTTTAAAAAAAAAAAAAAAAACTTTTGCTGATAATTTACTCACCCCCATGTCATCCAAGATGTCCATGTCTTTCCTTTTTCAGTCGAAAAGAAATGAAGGTTTTTGATGAAAACATTCCAGGATTTTTCTCCATATAATGGACTTCAATGGGGTCCAAAAGGTTCAAGGTCCAATTGAGAGTTTCAGTGCAGCTTCAAAGGGCTTTAAACGACACCAGACGATGAATAAGGGTCTTATCAAGCGAAACCATCGCTCATTTAAAAAATAAATAAAAAGTTTAAGTTTAATAAGCAGAACCGCCTTACTCTGTTCTGTGATCGTTCGTGACTCTCAAAATGAACAAATCTTTTTTCGAGTCATTTCATTAATTTCGTATTTTGAATCAACCAAATGACTCGAAAAAAGATTCGTTCATTTTGATGAATGAGTTCGAACAGGAGAGTCACACAGAACAGAGCAAGGCGAGCATTTGTGCTTATAAAACTTAAAGTTTGTTATTTATTTTTTTAAAAGAGCGATCGTTTCGCTAGATAAGACCCTCATTCATCGTCTGGTGTCGTTTAAAGCCCTTTGAAGCTGCACTCTTTTGGGCCTTGAACCGTTTGGTCCCCATCGAAGTCCATTATATGGAGAAAATCCTGAACCTGTTCATCAAAAACCTTAATTTCTTTTCGACTGAAGAAAGAAAGACATGGACATCTTGGATGACATGGGGGTGAGTAAATTATCAGCATTTTTTTTTAAGTGAACTACTCCTTTAAATTCCATTTTTTTGTTGAATTTATTTTCTTTCTTTCCTTTTCTTTCTTTCTCTCTCTCTCTTCCTCTCCCCTGTGTTTGAGTGTGTTTTGGTCCCGTCCTGCGGTGGCTCGTGTCTTGTATGCAGATGTTGTGCTGTGCTGTTGTGGTTAGTCTGGTGTGTGTGTGTTAGACTGTTTCACAGCTGCTGTCCTCATATAAGACAGGAAGAGAGACACTGACTTCCTTTTAAACCCTTTCAGAGACAGATGGCCTTTAGCATTAGCATCTTATCCTCTCTTTGTACTGAAGATGCTTGTTAGTTATTCAAACTAGTGTGTCCATACAGACCATGAGATGGTGAGATTCTCTGAATGCACATTGGATCATAAAATCAAATTCTATGCAACATTCTATAATTATTTTACATTTTATAATATTAAGCAGCAGAACAGTTTTCAACATTAATATGATCAAAAAAACATTTCTGATTATTATCAGAGGGATTTCTGAAGGATAATGTGACACTGAAAAAATCACACGAATAAAATATATATTTTTACTACTGTATATATTCACATAGAAAACAGCTATTATAAATGTTTATTGTATTTTAAATCAAATAAATGCAGCATTGGTGAACAGAAAAGACTTGCACACTTTTAAACAGTGGTGTGTGTTTCCTGGTGTTTGGGCACAGGATGAGGAATCTCCATTATTCCTCTCACACGCAGAGAAAAGAGGACATCCGGACTCTTTTATGAGGAACAGCGATTTGTCCTTTGTTCATGTAGTCGTTACTAATTAAGGAAAGTATTTTAAAGTCATCATTTTAAGGTTTAATGAACACATAATGGATTGTTTGTGGAGCTTTACTCTTCAAAAGCAAACTTCTGTTAGAGGCGAATTAATGGCGATAAATTGAAAGTGTGTTTGTTACCGACAGTAAAGAAAGTGTGTGTGTGTAATTAGGTGATTTTTAGCGCTATCAAGGCTTTTGTTTACCGTGGATGCAAATTAAACAAGCCTTTGAAGACAAAGGCACCACACATGGAAATGTTCAGTGTGTGTGTGTGTGTGCGCTGTAGCCGGTCGTTTTCATTTTCCACTAGAGTTCCAGCATGGTGTAGTTAAAAGTAACATGGAGGACTGAGTGTGTGTGTTAAAATGTGGGCACAAAGCGCCTCACACACACGCTGCAGCTGTTGCTGATAGCAGCACTACAGAACGGCCTCTGTTTTGCTGACTCTTCTTCCTCTTCCTCTCTGCAGGGCTGCTGCCACTCCTGAGGTTGCCATGGGAACCGGACCCTGGCCCAACCCCCCCACTGAGGCCGAGCAGCTCCAGGCGCTGATGGCCGCGGCTAATGGTGACAATCTCTTTCTCTCCCTATATATATTCATGTCTGTGAGCGTTTGTAATGATGAAAACACAGGAGACGCATGCATTCTGGGAGTGCTGGTGCTCATTTACATTATTATCAGATCACAGTTTGCATAGATTTGTGTGAATGAACACTCACAGAGACGATTCAGTGGGCCGTATCGATATAAAGCACATCACAGCAGCATGACCTCATCCTCTCATGTTTCCCTGTATAGTTTCACTGCTGGGTCTGAATGAGAATACATGGAAAGTGACTCATCACACATTTACTTAGTTGCTGTGGTATTTCCTCATCATTTAGATGACATTTAACTGCTGATATGTACATTTTAGGTGCTAATATTTACGCTAATATGTACATTTAGGTGCTAATATGTACATTTTAGGTGCTAATATGTACATTTAGGTGCTATTGTGTGCATTGTAGGTGCTTATATGTACATTTACATGCTAATATGTACATTTAGGTGCTAATATGTACATTAGATTTAGGTGCTGATATGTACATTCTAGGTGCTAATATGTACATTAGATTTAGGTGCTGATATGTACATTTAGGTGCTGATATGTACATTCTAGGTGCTAATATGTACATTAGATTTAGGTGCTGATATGTACATTTAGGTGCTGATATGTACATTCTAGGTGCTAATATGTACATTAGATTTAGGTGCTAATATGTACATTTTAGGTGCTGATCTGTACATTAGATTTAGGTGCTAATATGTACATTTTAGATGCTAATATGTACATTTAGGTGCTGATATGTACATTCTAGGTGCTAATATGTACATTAGATTTAGGTGCTGATATGTACATTTAGGTGCTAATATGTACATTTTAGGTGCTAATATGTACATTTAGGTGCTATTGTGTGCATTGTAGGTGCTTATATGTACATTTACATGCTAATATGTACATTTTAGGTGCTGATATGTACATTCTAGGTGCTAATATGTACATTAGATTTAGGTGCTAATATGTACATTTTAGGTGCTAATATGTACATTTAGGTGCTATTATGTGCATTTTAGGTGTTGATATGTACATTCTAGGTGCTAATATGTACATTAGATTTAGGTGCTGATATGTACATTTTAGGTGCTAATATGTACATTTAGGTGCTATTATGTGCATTTTAGGTGTTGATATGTACATTCTAGGTGATAATATGTACATTTAAGTGCGAATATATACATTTTAGGTGCTGATTACATTTAGGTGCTATTATGTACATTTTAGGTGCTGATATGTACATTTAAGGTGCTGATTACATTTGTGCTAATATGTACATTTAGGTGCTATTTAATGTCAATTTAATGCGTCCTTGCTGAATAAAAGAATTAATTAAAAAACAAACCTATGAACTGTAGTGTACATAAGCAGATTTGAGCAGATAGTTTGAAGACATTCACACAGACACATGAGATGCAAGTGGAATCATTTTATATGTGTTCTGCAGACTCTGAGACAGACGTTATCGAGTTATTCGCGTCCCGTCAATGTTTCCACTGTTCTGTCCAGTGTTGTTCTGTCCTGTGATCAGCCAATCGCCAGGTTTCCATCAACACAGTTGGTTTGCTTTTGTCATTGTTTTCTAGGTTAAACGCTTTGTTGAGTTTAAAAAGGGTTTCTGTTTCATTTCAGTTTCTGGCCTTCTGATGGTGTTTCCTCACGTTTTTTAATGCAACGTTAATGCACTGACACTACTGGATGAAATCATAAACTTGAGCTGAATGATGACGCTACTGTCTTTGATTTAGCTATAAAGCAGCTCTAGACAACTAATTTCACTACATTTTAGGTGCTGATATATACATTTTAGGTGCTGATATATACATTTAGGTGCTAATATGTACATTTTAGTGCATTTTAGCAGATTAGAGCAGATAGTTTGAAGACATTCACTCAGACAAATGAGATGCAAGTGGAATCATTTTATGTGTTCTGAGACAGACGTTATCGAGTTATTTGGTTCCTGACAGTGTGTCAATGTTTCCACTGTTTAAGTGCTATTATGTAATGTTTCCACATTTAGGTGCTATTATGTACATTATGTACACCTAAAGTGCTAATATGTACCATTAAGGTACCGATATGCACCCCTTTAGGTACAAAAGCGCACCTTTTGAATAGGTATAGCCCCAGTGACAGCTTTTGGACCTTTTTTTCTGAGAGTGTAGAGCTGCTTTACAGTTTTCTTCATAAGTAATGAACTTTGCAGCATTGACACTGTCATTGAACAAGTATTGTAATGCAGAAATCCCCTGAAACTCCCCTAACAGAAACTCTCTTTGGTCTGCAGAGGTGAGCGAGGCGACCAACACTCTGACCCCAGGCACCATGGGTCTGACCACCCGCTACAGTCCTCAGTTCACCCTGCAGCACGTGCCCGATTACAGGCAGAACGTCTACATCCCCGGCAGCACTGCCACCCTGACCTCCAACCAGCAGCAAGTCCAGCAGCAGGCCCTGCCTCCGGCACAGGTCCCCGTCCCACAACCAGAGCCGCCCAAGGCCGCCCAGACGCCCGCCAGCAAGAAGAAGTCCACCAAGAAGGAGAAGAAGTAGAGGGCTGATGCACGATCTGTAACTAGTTGGAGAGAAATATGAGGTTAAAAAAAAAAAACATTGTCAATGTTAAAACCCACTTCTCAGATTTCACACATGCATTATTTTCCTGTTCAAGTACTGTAAAATCATTTGCATATAATTCTGATCACTTTGTTTTTCATATGTCCGTTTGCCAAGTTTATGCAACACTATATTCCTGCGTATATCTAGCCAATAATGTATTTACCACAGTAATACTTTACCGTGATCATGAGAGGAAATGTATTATTAAAACAATCAAAGACACATCGCCGCGTTTCATGACGTGCCCAGTAGGATGATGCGGTGTTTGTAAAAGTGCATCATGATTTTTATTACTTTTGTTATTGTTTACTAAAACACCACTATGACTTTTTTCCTATTGATGATTTTTGACGTGTTCATGTCAGGTGATTATAGCTGCATGCTGGTTTTTTGCTCCATGGATAATCTCCACGTCACCTGACGTCTACAAACACGCTTTTACACCGTCCGCTTTTGTTGTGTTTTTCAAATAATTGAAGAATGGATTCCCCTGTGTATCACTGAGCCAGAGTTGTGATGTTTTAAACGTTTGCTGAATGTTTTCCGAGCCATTGAAGTCCACAAACACGCAGTGGCATATTGTCCTTAATATTCAGTATTTCCAGGTTATCCTGAAGTGTTGAAGCTCTTTATCAGTGCTGGTTAGTAATGATACTCGCTATGAGTATCCGCTGTTTTAATGGTGACAAAACCTCCGGATATTTTGAGTGGCTGACATACGGCATCTTTTTTCTTTTCTTTTTTTTTTTGCCATGATTGTGCAACAAGCTCAGTGAACAATTGATTTCAATAATTCAATCCTCGTCAATATGCTGTTTCAGAAGGCAACTTGTGCTCACCGAATGTACAAGCAGCACATGTTAAATGCATTAAAGAGTCTGTTAGTTGAACTTTTGTAAAGCAAATACTCATGATAAAAAATATTCCATCCAAATGCTGATTCCGGTCCACTTTCCTAATGGCATGACGTTCCTTTGTAAATAGCAATCCGCCCTTAAAACACGCATTAAACCTTTTCAGATAATCAGTTTAAGAGGAATGGCTTACTACTGGAATGTCATTTTATTTTTTAGAAAAAAAAAGATCAAAAATAAAATAAAGGAAAAAAACAAAACAACAAAAAAAAAACATGTCACTGTTACCGATGTAGTTCTTTAGTACTATGAAAGCCAACTAACGCACCTGTAAATAAAGAGTTTAACTTTTACTTATGAAATTAAATAGTGACACACTCTTAGTCTAGAAGTTGTGATGTTCTGCATATATTTTTGTGTTAATTTTTCTCTCTTTTCCTGTCACACTTTTCCATGAAAAGACACAAAATGGAGGACAAATAGACCTAAACGCCTCTGTTTATTAATTTGGTGATCTCTGTTGTGCTTACATGCTTCTTAATGTCTATATAAAGAATCTGAATAGATCTATTATCTGTGTGTGTGTGTGTGTGCGTGTATGTCTGCTGATGCTGTAATCCTGCTGTAACATCGCTGATAAGACGCTTTGATTCCCGCCTCCTGTGTGCTACTTGCATTTTATATGCTAATATTTATATTGCTGTTTTATTTTGATTTTTTTCTTCTTTTCCTGAACACTGACATTTCAAATAAAAGGTTCTCAAATTATTTGTTTCATTGTTTTGTTTTCACAGTATCACATTGTAATAACACCGCTTTAAATGTGGATCTTACAAAAATCATATTTTATATGAATTTACTTACATGTCATATTTCACCTAACAATTGTTTTTAAACATTTCCATTTACTGGCTTACAACTGAGGACTAAACCAAGCGAGGCAAAAACAACGCAAGTGCTCAAAACACAAAGTTCAGACATTGCACGGGGTAGCATAAGCCAGATAAGCAGGAATTTAAAAGAAAACGTTTTTTATTTTATTTTTTTGAGTTATGTTAAGTGCTCACAGAAGAGAAGAGTTTTCAGTTGTCTTTTAAATGCTGACAGGGATTCTGCATTCCGGATGAAGGTGGGGAGGTGCAGGTGATGTTCCTTCATCCATGCCGAGATGTCCGCCAGACAGCTTCGTGAGATTCGTGCAGGTACTGTGGGATCATCCGGTTGAGAGGTAGAGCTGGGTGTCATCAGCATAGCAATGGTAGGAGAAACCACGTGCCTGTATGATGGGTCCCAGTGATGTGGTTTAAATGGAGAAGAGGCATGGACCAAGCACTGAACCCTGGGGAACTCCTGTGGTCAGTTGATGTACTTTAACTCTCCATGCGACCCTGAAGGACCTACCTGTGAGATAGGACTCAAACCAGTGGAGGTAAGTTCCAGTGATGAGAGGGTGGACAGAAGGGTCTGATGATTCAGCAGACAGATCCAGGAGGATAAGGACTGTTGATTTGGAAGCAGCAATTTATGATGTGTGTGAGTGCTGGAAGAGAGATTGCTTGGAGCAGATGTGATGGGATGGGATCAAGAGGGCAGGTGGTAGGATGACTGGAGAGGAGAAGCTTAGATACTTCTGCAGCTGACAGAACAGCTGACATTTCATATATAAATATATTTGAATTTACATATTTACATTCTTCTTTTTAAACATATGAACATATTAATAAAATTGTAAATTCATTTTAGATAAATATATAAAATTAATCATAAAAAAATCCGTCTCACAAGACCGAAGCAAGACACACACAACTTGACGCAAGTGACGCAATCCATAGCAACGCGTTATAGCAACACCTCAGACTGACAGAAACGTAAAAATAAACGTGAATTTAGGCCACTTTAGTTACAGCATTATGGGTCGTTTTTTGAAAAGAAAATCCACACAAGAGCCGGGGATTTTTATTTTATTTTATCTGCATCCTGCACTTCATTTGAGTTCTCCTGGTCTGGATTTGTTATTGGGTTCTTGTATTGGGCGGTCCACCTCTTACGGTTTTATGGCATTTGTGTCTCTGATTAATTATTTTGTGAATTACTTTGCAAACCTGTGTTTTTAAAGGTGCTATAAAGTTTTTATTATTATTGTTATTTACAGTTCATATTATGCTCTGTTCATTACTGTTCTGTCTAACTAAACAAGACATTTGCATTTCAATTTGGGTTATGCAGTGTTTTTAAATTATATTTTACACTGGGGTGCCTTGAGATTTTATGCACTTTTGAAAGGTGCCCTGACTGAAAAAAGTTTGAGAAAGGCTGAGCTAATGTATTTCCACCACAGAAAAACGCTTGCTGTTGCGGAGAAGAGAAAAACACCCAAGTGTTTGGGTGCACGTGCTGAAAAGTTTATGAGCGCGCTTCCCGTGAGCGCATAATGAGCGCGCTTCCCATGCGCCTATTTGAAACAGAGGATTTGAAATAACGACCTCGAGCGCGCAAAAGACGCGATACGTGAACTAATCAGGAGATCCCCTTGACATCGCTTCTGCGCACGGCACCTTCTCAGCAAGCAGGGCGCCATTGCCAATAATTGAATCGAAATGATAAAAAAATAGAAAAACTTCGCGGCACAGAGGATTTTTTTGAACTGCTCGAGCCGCCCCCCATGTGACATGAAGAAATGCCGCCCCGGGCGACTGCCCGGTTCGCCCGTGCCTAGAACCGCTTCTGATGTCCTCACATGAGGGCATCTCATGTGAGGTTAATTAGTTATAATTAGTTGAAGATGGGGTAGGATTGAATAAGCTTATGCTTCTTCCTACTCCTTTTCGGACATGTATAAGTTAAAAAAAAAAAAATTGTTGTTTTTTTTTCTCTTTGTTTTATGTATTGTTTGGTTTTTTTCTTTTTTTTCTACATGTTTGAAATAAAAACTTTTCATTTGTTCATTCATTCATTCATCTCATAGCTTTCACCTGCATGATACAACACCAATCAGTTGACTCAAAACCGTGCTAATACACTCAAAACTCATGCAATCTTCGGATTATTAATCCACTCATGCATGTAACATACAATAAAACACACCATACAATTTCTGCATTGATTACAAACAGGTATTTACCCATTCAGACCCTGTGTCCATTACAATGGACATCACATGTCAGCCCCCTTTTTAAACTTCTGGAGCATTTCATCTAGTTTAGAAACTGCAGTCCATGAGATTGGACGTTTGTCATCCAATCAAATGCCAGTAAAGCTCTGCATGTAGTAATTATATATATATATATATATATATATATATATATATATATATATATATATATATATATATATATATAAAACTCTACATTGAAGAGAAGCATGGCAGCACTTCACTCCAAACACAGAAGCAAGCAACATTTTCTGAGGTGTATTTACATTTTGTATATATTTTTGCCAGTATTTCATAGTTTGTATGTAAAATAGAAAGATTTAACTTATTAATTAAAGTTAAAGTTCGACTGTAGAAGTGCATGTTTTAAATCAGGATTTTTTTTAAATGTGTCTGTCCATTAGATTGGACAGTAGGTTTGAAAGCTTGTTACAGAAGTCACATTTTCAGTGATGCTGATTGAAATTTCTTTTATAAATTTTTTTTTGAAACTTTTCATGTGCAGAATATACAGTTCTGAAGTGCTTGAACATATAGCTGATAAAAATATCTCAGATGTTGACTTTATGTAGAGTAATGAGGAAGGTGGAGATGTAAGAAAAATATCCATATTTAAAACTTTATAAAGTAAAATAACTTCCGGCAAAAAGAACATATGGATTTGACTTAAATCTAAAGCGCAACTTAAATATGAATATTTTAAATATTTTGTATTAATATATGTTTTTTATGGATAGATGCACTTTTATCATGGATAGATGCACTTTTATCATGGATAGATGCACTTTTATGGACTTTCAAAACAGAAACAACCATTTACAGCCAATTTAAAGCTTGGAAGGGCCAGGACATTGTTTAATATAACTCTGATTGTTTTCTTCTGAGAGAAGAATGTCATTTACACCAAGGATGGCTAGAGGCCAGGGTGATTAAATCATGGGCTAATTTAATTTTTTGGGTGATCTATGCCTTTAAAGGTATAGTTCAACCACAAATTATATTTGTCTTCACTTACTCACCCTCATGTTGTTCCAAACCTGTATGAGTTTCATACCATTTTTATGTTGGACACCATCCCGCCTGCAATCTATTGAATGGGGTTTCGGGTAGTATATTTGATAGACATTTTAACTAAAGTTCCTGTCATGATAAAAACTGTTTTACTGCACTCAGCAGGCCCCCCGGGGTACATAGCACCAAGCGCCGCCCCAAAAGTCCACCGTCCACGAACCCACTATTTTTATAATGGCATAAATGCTACGTGGGATCTCAATATCTCAGCTCTGGAAGGGTCTAGAGCCTCCATTTTTGCACTCAGGTCTAAGTCTCATGGCCCTCTATCAGAATCCAGAGTTTCAAGAAGATCAGAGAAACTTTTTTTCTTGCACCGGAAAAGTGGATAAGGAGTACCCCTATCTTCTTGAAACTCTGGATTCTGATAGAGGGCCATGAGACTTAGACCTGAGTGCAAAAAATGAGTCTCTATACCCTTCCTGAGCTGAGATATTGAGATCCCATGTAGCATTGATTTATACCATTTTAAAAATAGTGGGTTCGTGGATGGTTGAATTATGGGATGGCGCTTGGTGCCACAGACTCAGGGGGCCCCCTGAGTGCAGTAAAATAGTTTTAATCATGACAGGAACTTTAATTAAAATGTCCAAAAAAACACTACCCAAATCCCCATTCAATAGATTGCAGGCGGGCTAAGTTGGATCTCAATATCTCAGCTCAGGAGGGGTTTAGAGCCTCCATTTTTGCACTCAGGTCTAAGTCTCATGGCCCTCTATCAGAATCCAGAGTTTCAAGAAGATCAGAGAAACTTTTTTCTTGCACCAAAAAAGTGGACAAGGGGTACCCCTATCGTTTGAGTTTCTCTGATCTTCTTGAAACTCTGGAGATATTGAGATCCCATGTAGCATCTATGCCATTATAAAAATATTGGGTTCGTGGACGGTGGCTATGTGGGATCTCAATATCTCAGCTCAGGAAGGGTCTAGAGCCTCCATGTTTGCACTCAGGTCGAAGTCTCATGGCCCTCTATCAGAATCCAGAGTTTTGAGAAGATCGGAGAAACTTAATTTTGAAAAAAAAACCGAAAGGGGTACAACTGTCGTTTTTTTTTTCGGGTCGAAATTTTGAGTTTCGATATCTCAGCTCTGGAAGGGTCTAGAGCCTCCATTTTTGCACTCAGGTCAAAGTCTCATGGCCCTCTATCAGAATGCAGAGTTTTGAGAAGATTGGAGAAACTCAATTTCTCGCCCGAAAAAAAAAAATGAAAGGGGTACCACTGTCGGTTTTTTTATTGGGTCGAAATTTTGAGTTTCGATATCTCAGCTCTGGAAGGGTCTAGAGCCTCCATTTTTGCACTCAGGTCAAAGTCTCATGGCCCTCTATCAAAATCCAGAGTTTTGAGAAGATTGGAGAAACTTAATTTTTCGCCCGAAAAAAAAAAAACGAAAGGGGTAACACTGTCGTTTTTTTTTTCGGGTCGAAATTTTGAGTTTCGATATCTCAGCTCTGGAAGGGTCTAGAGCCTCCATTTTTGCACTCAGGTCAAAGTCTCATGGCCCTCTATCAAATCCAGAGTTTTGAGAAGATTGGAGAAACTTAATTTTTCGCCCGAAAACGAAAAAAAACGTAAGGGTAACACTGTCGTTTTTTTTTTCGGGTCGAAATTTTGAGTTTCCATATCTCAGCTCTGGAAGGGTCTAGAGCCTCCATTTTTGCGCTCAGGTCAAAGTCTCGCGGCCCTCTATCATAATCCAGAGTTTTGAGAAGATTGGAGAAACTTGATTTTTCGCCCGAAAATGAAAAAAAACGTAAGGGGTAACACTGTCGTTTTTTTTTTCGGGTCGAAATTTTGAGTTTCCATATCTCAGCTCTGGAAGGGTCTAGAGCCTCCATTTTTGCGCTCAGGTCAAAGTCTCGCGGCCCTCTATCATAATCCAGAGTTTTGAGAAGATTGGAGAAACTTGATTTTTCGCCCGAAAACGGAAAAAAACGTAAGGGGTAACACTGTCGTTTTTTTTTTCGGGTCGAAATTTTGAGTTTCCATATCTCAGCTCTGGAAGGGTCTAGAGCCTCCATTTTTGCGCTCAGGTCAAAGTCTCGCGGCCCTCTATCATAATCCAGAGTTTTGAGAAGATTGGAGAAACTTGATTTTTCGCCCGAAAACGGAAAAAAAACGTAAGGGGTAACACTGTCGTTTTTTTTCGGGTCGAAATTTTGAGTTTCCATATCTCAGCTCTGGAAGGGTCTAGAGCCTCCATTTTTGCGCTCAGGTCACAGTCTCGCGGCCCTCTATCATAATCCAGAGTTTTGAGAAGATTGGAGAAACTTGATTTTT